TTAAAAACAATAAAGTGTTTTCAATCGGTGCTGCTGTCTGTGGTTACTGATGATGTTGATGAATAAATGTTGTTTTATGTTTAAAGTTTGTTCATCTTTAATTACAAGAGAGATCAGGTGAACGACAAACCAGAGTTTAGTGAGTCAACCATGTTCATGTGCGACTGTTACCGTCACCTCCATCAGCGTCTCCTGTGTTTTTGTCATGACGCAGCAGAGTGGGCGGAGCCCCCTCCTCACTGAGGACCATTTCACGGAGCTGTGGAAAGGTGTGGAGACGTCTCACTCTGCTCGAGTTGGGTGTCCTGCATTTTATAAACGTACAAAACAAATCAAATTACTATTTTAATAAGCCCGAATAAGATATTATAAAAATTTAAATCAAAGCCAACAACTTGGTATTATACTATAACAGTCGAAATAGATAATATCACAACATCGTATTTGGATTTGCAAGATTAAATGTCAATATTATATGAATTAAAAAAATTGAATTTTGAAATTTTAGAATAATTAGTCAATCATAATCTCAGAAAGGTGGGAATAAAGAGATAAAAAGGTCATGACTTTGATTTCAAAAATAATTATGAAATCGATAATAAATCTAAATATCAAGAACCGGTAATAGTGGATAGAAATATTTTAAGGTAATGTCCCAAAGATACAAGATTATGGTGGTAAAATTAAAAAAAAATTACAATTCAATGACAGCTACGACATTTTAAAAATATTTTTTACATTTTATTATTTTCATTTCTAGACTTCTGAGAAAAGAATTAGCGCCCTCCTGCGGCAGTAAATCATACCTGCAGTCTGCAGTAGTGAGCAATCCTCCTCGGATTACGATCTTGGTCCAAGTCTCATCCAGCACTGAAGCCGCTGAGCGCAGACTCTCTGCATCCTCCTCACCACAACCGAGCATCACTCCCTCTGTGCCACCACCTCTGCGCAGGGACACGGCTACACCCGGAGACACGTATCTGGACCGACTGAGTTTACCCCCCGCAGAGCAGCGGTGCTTCCCGGGAGACATTTCTTCTTTCTCCTCGGTTCTATGGACGTGAAGTGACCGCAGCGCAGCGCTTGTCTCCTCATCTTCCTTCGCTTCATCTGCGGCCACAAAATGGCGGACATGATCGAGCTGGGACCCGCCTACGGTGAGAGCGACGGAGCAGGCCGCTCCAGCACCGCATTTCTAATATTTTTTAATAATAATAATTACACTAATATGAGTTTTAAACACATTATTTATCGGCAGTAACATAGAGGCAATAGAGCAAACGTTCTAAAATGAACCAAGTTTTCGTCTTTTAGCGCCGCCAGATTTTGAGGCCTTGAACGGTGTTTGAAGTGATAATTGTTGACTGAATCTATTTCAACAGCATTTACCGCATATCACAGATGAAGGTCTTTTATTAGAGTGTATCTTCTGTTCTGCTGCAATATAAAAATACATTCTCGACATATTTGATAATGTAAGACGCATGAAAATCAACTATAAACACTTTAATTGGTAAAATAAAATCTGTATTTTTGACAACATTACTTTAGTGAGTCAGGAACTGCTATCTTATTAAAGATGAGTAATAGGTAAAATATATTTTTTTAAGAAATGCTCGTCCTCTCGCCCCTGCTGTTCCCGTGCGCGCGCCCGCATGGGTGGTAGCAGGTGACGTCATGTCTGTGTCTGCTAAGCTTTTATTTTTTAAACATTTTTAAAAATACACAGTGATGACCATCCATCTCTGATTTGTGCTACGACATTTTTACGTATTTTTTAAAAATAATTTTCATTTATATTCCATCATTTTTGTTTTGTTAAATAATTTGTCTTATTTTAAGAAAACCAAATGTGCCTCTAACAACGATAAAATTAGTATCTTATAATCCCACAAAATGTCAATTGATTCTGGAATTTGAGATTTTATATTAAATAATATAATTTTAAATAAAGAAAACATATTTTTCTTGTTATAGTTAAAATTTTAGGAATTTTTCTTGTATTTATTTTGTGTATGTACTTTATGTAATACGTTGTGTATAGAAATACATTTATTGGTGTTGTTATTACATTATTATTGTTACATATTTCCTACATGTAATGTGTGTTTATTAGGTTGAATTCAAAATCAAATATGATCATTTAATTAGTGTCAAATAATTTTTATTGACCCTTACAGTCATATTTACTTTTTAAATTTTTATATGTGGAATTCCTTAAATAGCTTTTTATTATTATAAAATTGTATTATATACAATTTTAACATATTTTTTAGAATGGTCTTTGTTCGTTGTTGTTAGGAAAACAAACATGAAGTTCACTTCTTGAAACATGCAAAAGGAAAAAAAAATCATCAAAGAACATATACGTATGTGAGTAAATCATATAAATACATTTACATGTCAAACAGCGAAAACGATCACCGCTGCTAACGAGTCAAATTTAAATGTTAGTGTGTGTCACCACGGAGGTGCGTGCGTGTTTGTGTCAGGCTCCCTCCACCAGATGAGCTCATGTTTGTGAAGGCAGCTGAAAGCCACTGTTATTACTGCCTAGCAACATACACACACAGACAGACACACACACACACACGTGCGCATACATACACCCACACACTCACAAAGACACAGAGATACACAGGAAGTCGCCTTAGTTACTCATTGACATTTCTTTCTGCTTGACAATGACTGGTTGTCGAGCAGAAAGAAATGAGCACATTGACTGATTGAGTGTGTGTTTGTCTGTGTGTGTGTGTGTGTTTTTCAGGAGGATCACATTTTGAGACAACACTCCCCTGTACACAGTGAACACACACAAACGCACATCTAATTAATGTGCAGGAGAAACACTGCACTAACATCACCGTTTCACTTATAACTATGATGTCATCATGTGATGTCATCAGATGGGGACGTTGCTAACATCACCGAGACCGTTCCTGATCGCCGTTCCTGATCATCCTGATTGTACTGGCACCTAGCATGAACTAAGTCAAGTTGTGGATTTATTATTAGTTTGTGAGCTTAAGTGGGCGTGGCCCTTTTTTTTTGGGTAAACAGGAAACAAAACAATTCCAATCAACAGTCAGCAGTCGAAAACCTCAAATTCGACAGTAACTGAATAGAACTGAAATTCAAAATTGACACAAAATTGACTCAAATTTTCATCTGAATAGAACTGAAATTCAAAATTGACTCAAATTTTCCCCTCTACTTCATCTTCATTCTCACAGGCAGCACCAACATCCAAACACATGACAAAGTTTGAGAAAATATTCAGAACATTTTTCCAGAAAGATACGACCAAAAATAGAACGCGAGTCGTCGCTCTGATGGTTTAGTTTTTGTTCCCCGCGGCCCTCGTCCCCTGTGACAGCCATGTCCCCGGTGCTGGCGGGCTTCCTGGGAGCCGGAGTTCTGGTTCTTGTGGTGGTGGTTCTGGTTCTGCTTTGGTCCTTCTGTCAGCGGCGTTACCTTGGCCTCAGTGGACGCTACAAGCTGCACGGGGATCGGTACTGTGACGCCGAGGACCCGCCCTACAAATTCATCCACATGTTGAAGGGCATCAGCATTTACCCAGAATCGCTCAGCAGCAGCAAGAGGATTGTTCGAGGAATCAGGCGTGCAGAACGCTCTGACCGTGATGGAGAGCGGCTTGGTGTCGCCGCTGGGCGTGGCATGGTTCTGGTGGATGCAGAGAACAACATCCTGGATGTTCCTGGTCAGCTGCAAATGAGTCACCTGGTTCCTCCCACCAATCCTGGCCCTAACATCGGTCAGGCCAAGCTGGATAGGGTGGTGTCGGACCATGGCGACTACTGCCGTCTGGCTAGCAGCTCAACATTCAGCAGCATGACTAGCAGCAAAACTGCATCACCTTATACACCTGCCTTGTCTGATCCAGAACCAGAACCCAGTCTGGGCACCATTAGCCTTACTGTCGACTACAACTTCCCTAAAAAGGCTCTGGTGGTGACCATCGTCGGGGCCCGGGGCCTCCCCGCCATGGACGAGCAGGCCAGTAGCTCGGACCCGTACGTGAAGATGACAATCCTGCCAGAGAAGAAGCACCGCGTCAAGACCCGCGTCCTGAGGAAGACTCTGGACCCTCTCTTTGATGAGACTTTCACCTTTTATGGCGTGGCCTACAGTGCACTGCCCGAACTGACCCTGCACTTCCTGGTCCTCAGCTTTGATCGCTTTGCTCGTGATGATGTCATCGGCGAGGCTGTGGTGCCGTTGAAGGGCGTAGACCCAAGCACTGGACGGGTCCACCTGAGTCAGCAGATCACCAAGAGGAACATGCAGGTGAACTAGAGATTGGTATATTTTTCTTTCTGCACCTGTGAGTGCTTAGGATCTGTGTGACAGTGGACAAATACAAATGTGTTTATAGTATAAAGTCATGAAGACATGTGACATGTTATTTTTAAATAAATGAATTTCCCAGCCTGTATGCCATGGCGCCCTCACAAGGCCTGGAGCGAGGAGGGCTGCGACGGTTCTGCTCTGATGTTCATTTCTCATATTTTTGTTCTTGAGCCGATTACAGAATCAAATTAATCAAAAAAAAAAACTTTTAACATGTCTCCATTAGGAGTCAGAGAAATAATCATCAACGATTTGTTTTTATGAGGGAGATTTAGGTTTATGCAATTCGGAAATGAAACGTGTGATAATTGTCTTTTTCTTTAACACCAAGAGTGATATGCTGCTCTATCTACATCATAAAAGTTAATGCTACTAAATGTGTTTGTCACAGTGTGAGAGTCGTGGTGAGCTGCTAGCATCTCTGTCCTACCAGCCCGTGTCTCATCGTCTCTGTGTGGTCGTCCTCAAAGCCAGACACCTCCCCAAGATGGACATGAGCGGCCTCTCAGCTAGTGAGTACCAGAGCGCAGGGATCGGTTCCTGACGCTTCCACGTCCACTCCCTGATTCCTAAACTGTGCCTTGTCCTCTATTCAGATCCATATGTGAAGGTGAACGTGTTCTACGGACGCAAACGCATCGCCAAGAAGAAGACGCATGTCAAAAAGTGCACGCTCAACCCCGTCTTCAACGAGTCCTTCATCTACGACATTCCACCTGAGCTGCTGCCCGACGTCTCCGTGGAGTTCCTGGTGGTCGACTTTGATCGCACCACCAAGAACGAGGTGCTGGGGCGCGTGCTCCTCGGCCTGCAAAGCCCTGCCTCGACTGGTTGCGCCCACTGGAGGGAGGTGTGCGAAAATCCAAGACGCCAGATCTCCAAGTGGCACAACCTCAGCGAGTACTGAGGGGGCGGAGCCTCCGCTGCTGCATTATAGAAAAGACTCTGTAAAGAAGCATGTGCACGTACACATGCACATGAATACATACATGTACATACATAAAAACATGTGCACGTACACATACATACAACCTCGTTACTCATGCACACATCGTGCCACACACTCACACACACACACACACACACACATCAGGGATGTAACCCATTCACATTGAGATGTTTGGATTCACTTATTTATTGTGGTGTCGTAGGAGGACGTTAACAGGCCCAGTGGAGCTAACAGGGCTAACTAAGCTAATGGTAAACAACTGTTAACAACGACCCAGTTTTGTTGACTAAAGTTGACTAAAACCTGATCAACTCTCTGATTGGTTCGTGTGATCACAGACCAGTCTGATAGTGTAGCCCATTAAACCCTGTTGAAGCTCAGCTTCACTGGAGCAGCTGATTGGACAAAGGTGGTCCAAAGGTTACACTTTCAAAGCAGCTGGGCTTCACTGAGAGGTGGTGTGTAAGAGGTGGGCTACAACGTGGTGATTGGATGACCTGAAGAGGCCGAGCCAACATTTTCTTCTTATAGTTTACGAAAGGTCTAGAAACAAACTGCTGATTTTTTTTATTACTTAACAAATGTTGAAACGTTCAGACAACGACAGTCTGTAGCAGGATTCATATTCACTTCACCTGGGTCACAGGCCAACACCCACCACTGGCCTGACACTTGACAACAGTCGACGAAATCCAGGTGACAGAGCCCAACAACTACAGTCAGAGAGAAGGATGTAGACCAATACACAGCTACAGTCAGACAGGAAGTTAAGACTGGACAGCTACAGTCAGACAGGAAGTTAAGACTGGACGTCAGACAGGAAGTTAAGACTGGCAACTACAGTCAGAGAGAAGGATGTAGACCAATACACAGCTACAGTCAGACAGGAAGTTAAGACTGGACAGCTACAGTCAGACAGGAAGTTAAGACTGGACAGAAGGTCACAGGTTGTTACACAATGTGGAGGAAATGATGAAAGTGTTACATCCCTAACACACACACACACACGGAGACACAAACAGGAATACACACCGCACATACACACAAAACAAAAATACAACAGACAACACCGTAAAAAACACACAAAAGAATATTAACAATAACGATGAAGAAAACAGACCAAAATACACACATTCATTCACACACGATACAACAAACATACAAAACAGAAGACAGACAAACCCACGGACACACACAGAAATGCACACAGTTGAAAATACGCACACAAAAAGAACAAATATGTGAAAAAAAGGTGTGCTCCTACTCCTCCTTAGCCCCGCCCCCAAACAAACAGAAGATGTTTTTATTCTGAGAGTAGTGTTGGTATGTGTGAGTGTGGCCGGGACCAGAATGCTTCAGTACGATGTTAAGTACAAAAACCTGCCGCGTTGTTGTTGTCGCTGTCGTCATGCAGTTAATCGCATGTCTGTCTATGAGCTGCTGACAGGAAGTAGAAGAACAAGACGCCGCTATAACTCTACGCTAACACGCATGCTCGCAGTGTGGCTGGGACTCTTCCCAGAGTCGCACATCATTTCCTGTCCCAATGACCTTAGGAGCAGTTGCGGTGACTCTGGCCCCTCCCCCAGTTCCCTGTAGAATTTTTAATTAAATGTTAAACCTGAAAAACCTGAAAATGTTGAAACAAAAGAAGCAACAACTCCAATCACATTATCATCTGCAGATCATCCAGCAGAGGGCAATAATTCAACAGTGGACACGCCTCCTACTTCCTGTCATGCGTGATTAAGCACCCCCCCTGCAGTTCTCCCCGGTGGTAACCTCTGTGTTTAGTTTGTTGCGAACGCAACCTGAGAAAAAAAACAAAAAACAGCCTGACGACGACGTGTTGCTGCCTTCTTCAGTGTCCGTTTCATTAGGGACACAAGAGACTTACCAATCAAATCTTTAACTTTGAGTCATGTGACTTAATAAGATAAATATCTGCTTATTGTTGTTTCTTCAGGTTGGACATGTTGAAAATGTTCTGTAAATATAAACAACAGCTAACATGTAACAACGACGAACCCCGCCCCTCGGATGGTCCTGCTCATTCTGATGGTTGTACAGATGTGAATGGTTGATGAAGCACGACTCGTCAGGATTTACAGCTGACTAGCGTCACTTGTGGTTTTTGCTGTGTCATGTTTAGCATCAGTGAAAACAGGAAGTCAAATAAATGGTGCAGCGAAAAAGCAAAATCTCGACTCTGTTTGAATTTGTTACACAAACAAACAAACATTTTCAATGTTTTCTTCCCGTACCTACTGACCAGGTAACAGTGTGATCATATGTGGGATCATTAAAAAAATATATGATCCCCAGAAAAGAGAGACTGAAGGACCAGAAACAGAATTACTCACAGAGGAACCATGGGAAGAACCAGCAGAGCCTGGTCTGCAGCTGGTCTCACTGCTGGTCTCACTGCTGGTCTCACTGCTGGTCTCACTGCTGGTCTCACTGCTGGTCTCACTGCTGGCTGGGTCTGATCAGAAGGATCTGAGGAGAAAAAGAAGACATTTATTTCTGGGAAAGTTGCTGAATTTTCTCTGACGTGACCTCACGGTGTCTCTCTGCACTGATTGGTCGAAACCCTCCTTCCCTTGTGTCACCCTCTCTCCCCCCGTCTGCTCCCCCTCCTCCGTCTGACAAACAGTTATTTTATTAAAAACATGAAAGAAAACGTTTCACTTTCCAGCGTCTGTGATGTCACAGCCCACTTCGACCAATCAGGAGCTAGAGCTGCAGCTAAAAAAGTCAGTGCGTTCTCCAGCAGCGTCTTCTTCATCATCTTCAGCTGTCGGTTCGTCAGGTAAAAATCTTCGACACTTTCTGAATAATTAAAAATTGTTTTCTTTCTTTGGGATTTTATTAAAATTTAGAATTTTATCCCAATTAGAATGTTAATGTTCCTTTAAAAATGTATTGATAAAATCAAGTTTTTTATTAAAGGAATAATTAAAAATAATTTATGTTTTTCTTAAGGATTTTTTAAATTTTCCTTTGGGCGTGTTCACATCGTTTTAGTTTTTTATAATTTACTGCTGTTCTGCTGGTAATCTGATTTAATATGGGTTTAAGACAAATGTTTTTTCAGAAAATGAGAGATAAAATAAAAATGTTTCATGATAAACTGAGTTTTAATCTAAAGTAAAATAAGCAGATAACATTTTTAAAAATTTAATCCAATTAATTTTTTTAAATAAAATGTTCTCTTCAAGATAAAGTCACTTCTAGACTAATGTATTATGAACACCAGATTTTCTCACGTCTTAATCTGGTCATTTATGAAGTAATCCTAAAATCAGATTAACCTGGGATTATTCTCTAATCCAGTGTCAGTAATCTGATGAAAATCTCAATCTGGATAAAATCTTCTTTCATCGAGTTTGATAAACTAAAATACATCAGATTATGTCGGGGATTTAAATCTGAATTGTTCTGTGATTCTGGTTTGGACAATGTCAGATTATTTAAAGTCAGAACCCGGACCAGGTTCGTGTCCTGGTCCTGACTGGAGCTGTGGTCCAGTCAGACACTGCTTTGATTGTGCAGCTGGTTCCAGATTACAGCGTTCACATCAGATTTTCATGCTCAGCTCTGGGCTGAATCAAACACTTGTTGCTGCAGCAGCAGCTGACGCTCGCATGTTCAAAGCCCAGGTCATGTGACCTCTCTGTCTAATCCTCTGTCCTCAGGTCAGGTGAAGGAAACATGTCCCAGTACCAAAACCAGCAGGTGAGTTCTGCTCTGATCCGACCATGGTACCACCAGGGGGCAGAATCATCTATTTTACACAGTAACTTTTTATCAAAGACATGCTAACAGTTTTAGCTTCTGTTTAGTGATGACAGCAACGTCACTTTTTACTAAGAACCAACTAGCCCATTCAAAGTGTAGCCTTCTTAATTGTTAGCATCTAAAAGTGATTCCTAATAGTTTTTCGATTACTTACAAATCTATAGTTAGCTTCAGTCAAAGCCAGCGCTAACCCCACCCTCTACTGCATTGCTATTGAGGTGTTGATCATGTGATCCATTTCTGTCTCAGTTTAGCGCTCTCCTCAGAGTTTCCCGCCTACCATTGGTTTACTCAGCAGCCCAGTCTGTGACATCACTCTACTCTGGGGTTAAAGTGCGATACCCTCTGCTAGGGATGATGGGAGGTGTGGCTGAGGGCGGAGTCCGCAGCATTTCCCACATGGCTATGAAACAAGCCACACCCCTTCTGCAGAGCCTGGAGCCACAGAGTATGTGTGCAAGTGCTATCAATGCTAATGTGGCTAACAGTGTCAATGCTACACTAGAGCTACATTAGTCCTGCTAATGCTACTGCTGCTGAGTTTGTAAACATTACAGTGACTGTTATACAGTTTCTGCCACTAAAAGTGCTATTGAGCATTGTATTATTGCTAACAACGCTAAATAGCATGTAACACTAACACTGTTGCTAATCTGCCTCAACAATGTAATTCCTAATGTTAGCATATGTTGTTAACATTTGCCTATTTTGACAGTTGAAGTCGCAAACACTTTGGCTCTGATTGGACTCGACCGCCTGGAGAAAAACCTCCCCATCCTGAACCAATCAACGGAGAAGGTTTGCTTACATCGTTCTCTTGTGACCCCGGTGCGTGACCCCTGGATATGACTCTACTTCTCTGTCGCAGGTGATCGGTCACATCAAGGACGCCCTCTTCCTGACGCTCGATGACCTTCACCTGTGGTTAGTTGACGGCGTAGACAGCGTTTTGGATCAGCTGGAGCACGTGGCGGACGCCCTGCGGGTCACCGTCGGGCTGCTTCAGGACTCACAGATCAGCAGGATCACCGTATCTGGACTGGATGACATATTGAGTCGCCTGGAGGAGGCAACAGCCCACTACCTGCCCCTCCCACCCACACTGCGTGAGTGGAACATTCTGGAAAACATTAGGACATCAGTGGCAACAATATCTCCGTCATGGTACTTTATTTTTTTTTGTTTTGTTTTCAGGTCGTCAGTGGGAGCTGAGGGTACAGGAGTACGTGGATGAGGACGAGGACGAGGAGCCTGGACTGTGGACCAGGTTCAGGTGTCTCCTGCTTGGTCTCAGTCTGCAGCTTCATCACCGCATGATGAAGCTAAAAGACCAGCTGCTGATAGCTGTCAAGACCCTGGAGGACACACCTGAAAAGGTGTGACAGGAGCGCGCACACACAGGAGAGCTCAAACCCAATGGCACTAACAAGGACGCTAGCTAAGGGGCTTTGCTAGGCTAAACATTAACAGGTTTGACATTGTGTCTCCTGCAGATGGGTCTGCTCAGAGTTCTGGCGCTGGTGGAGGAGTTGCTCAACAACCTGCAGAACCTCCTGGTGGCCCTGGTCTACCAGACGGAGCAGCTCAGAGAAGGATCTCTCATTGGGATTGGGAATTTGGCGGCCATGTTGGTAGAGCTGAGACCCGTCCAGCAGATCCGGGAGCTGCCGGTCCAGATCCAGCAGATGCTCCGAGACCTTCAGGAGCTCTCCAAGATTCTCCTGCAGCTGGTGGTCAACGTCACACCTCTCTACAACATGGTGAGACTGTCACCGTCCCAGACCCGTGACCGCTCACCTTAATTTGCTGATGATGCCTTTTTTGTGTCCCAGCTCCATCAGCCCACCCACCAGGAGGTGGAGGACTTCCTTCACCAGGAGGATTTTTCCAACGAGAGTCTTTCTCGCCGCAGCTCTGCTAACAGCCTCTTCCTGAAGGCCATGGACGGACGTACTCGCCGTCGCCGCAGCCTCTACTCCCGCTCCAGTGGCCTCCAAAGCCCGGATCCCCCCAAAGGTCGGGGAGCAGAAGAAAACCCCAACCCTTCTGGCAGCGGTGTCACCCGCCGTCTGTCAGCCACCGAGCTGCTGCTGACGCCGCTAAAACAGTTTGTGTCTCAGAGTCAGAAGGCCTCGAGCACCTGAACCACAACGACGCCGTAAACACCTCCGCAACTGCAAATTAATCTGTAAACCTGCCCTCAGTTATTACCCATTAACCGCCCTCCACTTCCAGCCCTCCACCAATCAGAGCTAAACATGTATGCCACTGAAAATCAACCATTTCTGCCAGCGCTGGTGTTGGTGTGTGTGCGATCACTTTTTCAAGTGTACTGTTGGTGTGTGTGCGATCACTTTTTCAAAACAGAAGGATTAGGAAAGTAACCGCCAACGCTGGCTAAATACTGACCAACAACGTCACACTGGTCAAACTGCCTGAGGCTAACTACGAAGCACCAGTGAACAACAGTCAGACCAGGATATGGCAGATGTTTAGGCATAACGCAAAAACGTCAAAAATCAAATCACGTTAGCCTAACTTCCTGAGCACTAATACAATATAATAACTAAATTATAATCCTCTCCGCTTAAAAAAATCATCATGCAAATATTAGAGCTAACACAGTGGCTAACAGAGATGCTTGATCAAATGCTAACAAAGACTCCAGATGTGCTTGAGCAGAGACAGTGAGTGATAACGTAGATACTTATGCTAATCTTTCAGCCATATGTAACATTTAAACGAAGCTGTTCAAAACAGTACCATTACCTGGCATTTCTCTCATTTTGTAGCGTCTGTGGTAGCCAATAAAAACACTCCCATTCTCGCACGTGCTTGCATTTTAACTGCAAAAAAAAAAAAGTAACAACAGACAAAAAAAAAAAAAAAAAAAAAGTAACAACAGACGCAAAACAATACAACTAAACTGCAGAGACTAGTGAAACTAACTCTGTTTATGAACAGTTGTAGAATTATTTAGGAGTAAAGTTGAACTTTGATCCAGACAGATCTGGGGTCAGGTCTCGAGTGAAACATTTTTTTGCTACTGGTATGTGTCAGGAGTTGAACGGTGTTTATAAAATAAAGTTGAATTGATGATTCAAGTACGTCTTTGATTGGACGATGTAGAGCGACAGATTTGGTTCCTTTAACAAGGCGGACTCTGAAGCCGGTGTTGTCTGTTTGTTGTCTTTTATCACCGACAATAAAATGTTTTTCTCTCCTTTGTTCACTTTGAATACACTTAAATTCAAGGGTCAATAAAAGTTACAGATGAACATCACAGACTGCTGACCTCACAGCTGTAGCCACACCCACTGAAACAAAAGGTTGAAAATGATCCTTAGGATCAAGGACAAACTTTCACTTTTTGGTTTTTTAATGACAGGAAGGAAACCTTAACTGAAAAACTCTAGCTCCACCCAGAGGCTTCATTTGTTCATAACAGGGACAGAGTTAAAAAAAAAAAAAGTTTGTCTTTGTCAGAACATCTTTGTTTGTCAGTCTGTAAGTTGATCCCCCAAGAAAAAAATAGAATAGAATCAAAACAGAAGGTATTACCAGCTGACTGTTCCACTGCAGCCTGATTGGTCAGAAAACATCCTCATTCATGGGTCACATGTTTAATCTAGATTTGGTTTCATTAACAGAAACCAACACCTAAAAACAGTTTGAAAAAAAAAGACCTGGGAAGAAAAAAAAAAACACTATCTTAGGTGTGATTTTCATTAACAGAAACCAACACCTAAAAGCAGTTTGAAAAAAAAAATGACCTGGGAAGAAAAAACCCCCCCACTATCTTAGGTGTGAGTCCACCACAGCACCCTCTACTGGTCCAGTAGAGTTTCAGGATGAATGTCTTCAGAGTCTTAAACTACATGCCCGACAATTCCATTTGCTTTGGTGGTCCAGTTCTTTTTAAATATCAGAGCTACATGAATCCAACCGTTTCCTCTTGAATCTTTGCCACACCTTGTCCTCCTCCTCCTCCTCTTCCTCCTCCTGCTGCTCAACTTCATCATCGCCAACACAAAAGTTCTGCTGTTCCATTGTCTTCTGCTGTGAAGGTTTGAAACTCAGATCTGATCCAAATACTTCAGAGGATTTGTTGTAAAAAATCTGTCGAAGGTCATCAAGGTCTCTGTTGCCCTGAAAACAGAAGAGGAACCAAAATAATGGACAGCAGAGGGCACCAATGTGGAGCTAAGGACTTCCTCTGGAGCTAAACACAACAGCTAGTGGTCCTGATGAGAGTGATGCTTCACCTGTGGCTCCACCCTGAAGACGCTCCAGATGTCGAACAAAAACTCTGAAGACGTTTGATACGCCGGCAGGAGACGCAGCGCCAGGCGGTCTGAGATCAGAGTCAGCCGCAGGCGAACGCTACTGTCCTTAAAAATCCACAGGAAACACGTCATCAGCGTGACCAGCGCCATCAGGTGGTCAAAATCTGAGAGGTGAAGCGCTACTGACCTGACTCAAACAATGACGGCTTTCAACCAGCAGGTGGAGCAGCAGAATTTCACACCTCTGAAAAACACAGACATGTAGGGTTGAAACCACAGACCACGTTATTCAGGAAGGCCTCGGTGCCACAGCACAGTAAGGTGCTCCAGCTGTCAATCATATTCACCCCGCCCCCTGTCCACCGGTGTTCTGAGGCCTCTGACCCTAGAACCTCTGTGCGTGGCTCAGATCTGACCTCTAGTGGTAGGAGCCGCGATGGTCAGGAGATTTAAAGACTTTCTGTTTCGCTGCTCATTTCTCTGTCCTCTCTTCCCACACTTTCTTCAACTTCCTGGTGATGACATCACACCTGAATATCCTGAACCCTGATGTAGAGTCGGTGAGAAAACACTCTACTGTTGAAAACTATCTGCGTGGTGGATGTTTGTCCAGTTTGTGGACGTGGACACGGAGGTGTGTCAGCTGAGTAAACAGAGAGTGACTAAAAGACGTTACTGGAATTGTCTTGAATGTATGAGTACCCAGTGTGTGTGTGTGTGTGTGAGAGAGAGAAAGAGAGAGAGAACTCTGACCCTCTGGTCCAGAACACTCAGATGGTTTCCCGTTGATATTAGTCTTCTATTGTGTGTGTTGGGGTCACTGAGGTCACTGAGGTCACTGGGGTCCTGACACAGTGAACAGGTCCAGTCCCTCCTGTAGGACACAGACACACATGATCAGCCCTGACAGGTTCTGCTGAGCTCAGTTAAGCAAATCAAGACATACAGTACTCACCCACTGTTCTGACCAGCAGGGGGCACATGACAGCCCGGGTGGAAGCCGAGATGGCATGAAGAGCAGATGAGTAGACAGCCTGCAGATCTGCACACCGAACACACAGCAGGCAGCGGGCTGTCAGGAAAGTCCGGAGAAGACAGAGGTCTGGTGAAGTCAGGAGGGTCCTCTGACTGAAGACAGGAGACAAGAGCAACAATCACCAAACAGTAACATCTGCTAATGAAGAAAGGAACAACAAACAACAACAGTGCTGTTTCAGTTGGTACCAGTAGGTGGCAGGCAGTCAGGTTTTGCAGATAAGGTTTGTGGGGGGGAAAAAAACGGTTCAAGGACTGGTGTAGAAGAGAACTTAGTTCAGTTGACTGTGGCACTGATTTTTGTATCTGAACTAAAGAAACAGTTTAATCCTAAAACGGCTTCATTTTTCCTTTTACAATTTTTTCAGAACAAGTTCCCACCATCGGCCTCTAGTCTCTCCACTGGTGAATAACAGAATCTACCTGAGAGTCCTCCAGGTCTCCGCCTTCTTCTTCATCTTCACTGTTATTAGAGACAAGAAGCACAGGACGTCCTGGTGTGACCATGGACGGTGGAAGTCTATGCAGGCACAGCCTGGGCTGCATTTGGCTCACTGTGGCCCCCTGCTGGCTAGTCATAATACCAGGCTTCACTAGTGTTCTGTCAGCCTTCGTAGGAAGGGATGGTTTGCGTCCAGATCTAGGTTCTTTGGAGACCGTACAGCTCTGACTTCTCTGTTTGGGCAGACTGAGGCTCTCCTGACCATCTCCAGGAACTTCCTGTGCACTTGGGGATGGAAATAGTTCAGGTTCTCGGTTTTCAGGAATGGTAGAGGTTGGAGCGGTGGAAGAAGATGTCGGAGCGGTGGAAGCAGAGGTCGGCATGTTCTCAGCAGCTTTCAGTGTTTGTGCATCTTCACAGTCACAGGCAGAATCCGCCGGGGCCTTCACCACCAGACTCTGCAGCTTCACAGGGGAGGGCTGAGGAGGAGAGACCTCGGCTGGTGGAGTGGTCACCGATGCTGGGGTGAGGTTTTCTGGCTGCACGGGGTCTCTCACTCCAACAGGGTTGTCACTGGATGATACATTAGATGAAGAGTGGACGTCCTTGGCAGGTTGGATGTTCCTCAGGGTCGTCCTGTGGTCAGGGTTAGTGACCAGATTTATGACATGCTTGGTGTTGGGCATAGCAGCGGGAGGATTATACACAACTGTTGGTGGCGTGACCGAAGGAATGACGCCACCGAGTACAGGTGACACTAGAGAAGGAATGGTCTGCAACAAGACCACTTGGCCTTTTTGTGTCCATGTCATGTCTCGGGGAATAATTTTCCGGCCTTGGTTGGTCAATCTTGGGCCTCGGTTGGTCAATCTTGGGTTTTGATGTATTGATGCTGGGTCTGGGATCATCAACATTTGGACCAGCTTTTTCATATTGGTCGATGCTGGGCCTTGATTGGTCGATGCTGGGCCTTGATTGGTCGATGCTGGGCCTTGATTGGTCGATGCTGGGCCTTGATTGGTCGATGCTGGGCCTTGATTGGTCGATGCTGGGCCTTGATTGGTCGATGCTGGGCCTTGATTGGTCGATGCTGGGCCTTGATTGGTCGATGCTGGGCCTTGATTGGTCGATGCTGGGCCTTGATTGGTCGATGCTGGGCCTTGATTGGTCGATGCTGGGCCTTGATTGGTCGATGCTGGGCCTTGATTGGTCGATGCTGGGCCTTGATTGGTCGATGCTGGGCCTTGATTGGTCGATGCTGGGCCTTGATTGGTCGATGCTGGGCCTTGATTGGTCGATGCTGGGCCTTGATTGGTCGATGCTGGGCCTTGATTGGTCGATGCTGGGCCTTGATTGGTCAATCTTGGGCTTTGGTTGGTCAATCTTGGGCTTTGGTTGGTCAATCTTGGGCTTTGGTTGGTCAATCTTGGGCTTTGGTTGGTCAATCTTGGGCTTTGGTTGGTCAATCTTGGGTTTTGATGTATTGCTAATGAGCCTTGGATCATCAACATTTGGACCAGCTTTTTTATAGCTTGGCTTTGGTCGGTCGAAGCTGGGCCCTGGTTGGTCGATACTGGGCCCTGGTTGGTCGATGCTGGGCCTTGGTTGGTCGATGCTGGGCCCTGGTTGGTCGATGCTGGGCCTTGGTTGGTCGATGCTGGGCCCTGGTTGGTCGATGCTGGGCCTTGGTTGGTCGATGCTGGGCCCTGGTTGGTCGATGCTGGGCCTTGGTTGGTCGATGCTGGGCCCTGGTTGGTCGATGCTGGGCCTTGGTTGGTCGGTGCTGGGCCTTGGTTGGTCGGTGCTGGGCCCTGGTTGGTCGATGCTGGGCTTTGGATCATCAACAGACAGAGGTTCTTTGCCACAGCTGGGTCTTGGTTTGTGACCATTTTGTTGTGGGCACCTAATGGAGCGGAGGTTCCAAGGCCGGACACCAACGAACTGCCTTGTTTAGTACCTGTTGTGGAAAAGTTCTTGTTACTGTTTGAGGGGTATAAGGACCTGTAACACTGTAACACCTGTAACATCTCTGACCGGACCACTGAGGTGTCCACACAGGAGACGTTGGACTGGTCCACAGGAGGGTTTAACATACCTAACGTTGAGGGTAAGATGGGGGCGGGTCCAGTTTCATGTCCGGAGGTGTTTGTACTGATACAGAACGGGACGTCGGAAATCTGAATAAAACCTGAAAACCAGAGGAGGGCGCTGTAAGTGGCGGAGCTGATGTTGAAACAATGATAAAGAATCAGGCGGGACCCCAGCAGTGGCCTCAGGAGGAGGATGGGTCTCCACTGTCACTGAGCGTAGCTGTGAAAACTCACCAAGGTTGGACAGAGCATTCACAGCGTACATGTTGGTCGTGACCTCTATCTCCTTCATCAGTGCGGGCAGAGCCACGTCCTCCTCCGACACACTCTTCATCTCTGTCTCCACCTACAAAAACCAAATCCAACACGGTTCAAGACTCGGACACAGACCTAGATCCAGATCCTCTGTAATTCAAGGAGCACCACTAGAGGGTGATCTAGTGCTTTACAGAATGGTGATGTTAGCTACAAGTAAAAACAAACAAACAGTGAATGACTAGTCATCGTGACACGGCACATCACTGCACATAACCAAATGTGGCATTTTACCCATTGTCAGGTTTATTCTAACATAAACAAAACACGTCTGGATCTTTTTCTTGGAGCTTCCTCATCAACTCCGAGCAGCCGCGCACTTCCTCTGCTCTTTTATTGCATTTATAAAAGTATCAGATTACACATCATGTGATCGTGTGTCAGAATATGGATGGGTACGGAGTAAGAAGGTGGGTGTGAACGGGGGGGGGCTGTGTCTGGTAATTTTCCATCAGTCTTGAGCACACTAGATTATAATTTGACAACCATTTGTTTTAATTATTATTTTGTATATTATTATACACAGTGAACTCCCTAGATACCAGTTTAATCGGTTCCACAGCAGCGCTCGTGTTTCGATCGAATTGTTCCCCATAAAAATAACTAAAAACCGATTAATTCGTTCCAGCCCCACCACAAATATACTACTAACCCCCCCCATCTAAACATCAAAAACATAGATATTAACAAATATATTAATAATATAAAATAATAATAATTAAGAAAACATTTTATACTATTGTTGTAAAAGCCTGGATGAACCTGTGTGTGACGGATTTCCAAATTCAGGTGGAAAAATGGAGTTCAGTTGAACATCGTGACCAGGTAATTCCTTGGATCCAGAGCAAAATCCTGCAGTAGTTGCAGACTGGTAACAGGAATTCTCGTATCTCGGGGGTCCACTGTATTATCACCGTGTTAAAGTAACAGACGCAAAGGTGAGTCTGGTGGACGGGCTCTCACCTGTGCCTTCAGATTAACCAGAAGCGTCAGGTCGTCCACGACCAGTGACTTTTTCAGAAGCTTCTCTGCCTTCAGCTGTTTGACCTGCAGCTGTTGCAGCTTCTCAATGTTGGTCTGAACTTGATGCATCTCTGTCTTCTGGACGTTCTGCTCCACAGACACAGGACCGGCGAAGACAGAGGCGTTCAGAGACAGACACAGACACAGACACATGACTAAACTTTCCAGGTTTAAAAGACTGGTCCACCTTGATTTGTTCCCGCAGGAACTGCACTCTGTTGGCCAGGATCTTGGCACAGTAGTTGTGGGAGTTCTCCAACTCAGCCAAAAGTTTCTCTTCTCCGCTTATGATGTCACTCAGCCTGAAACCACAGTAACAGGGACAGTGATCAGTATCAGAAAGGTTTTTAATCTGACGGAGATGATGTGTGACTGGACCGTACTGGTCCTCACCTGGTCTTTAGATCCTTCAGAGTCTGTTTCAACTTGTGGCGCAGTGCTCTGATTGGCTGGAGCATGGTCCTCAGTTGACTCTTCATATCGGTCACAGCTTCAGTCACAAACTGGTAACTGAGAGAGAGAGAGAGAGAGAGAGAGAGAGTCAGTACAACATATGTTAGACATGGGATGAACAAAACTAGTCTCCCTGGTCCCGGATCGAGCAAAAAAGTTACAGAGAAGAAAGAGTTCAAAAAAGAAAATGTCGATTGTGCGCAAGACAAAAACAACAAGAGCAACATGTGTGAGAAAAAATGTGAAAGATGCAAAATATGTACTGTCTGTGGGGAGAGGACGGGGGGTTTGGGAAGGGAGTGGTGGTGGTGGGGGGGCGTTTACAGGGGTCCACCAGAGTTCAACAGTCTCACAGCCTGGTGGTCCTGCGCCACATTTTCATTCACTTCATCTGTGAGAGAGCCAGACTTCCTCCGCTGCCGTCTTACCTGTGGTTCATGTGCGCACTACTCAGTTGACAGTCTCTGCAGGTGTACTGTTTACAGGTGAGGCAGTAGAGCTTCAGTTTCTCTGACGGGTGCTGCAGACACAGGGTGGTGCCAACGTGTGAGGGGTTTGCTGAGGAAACAGAAGGAAAAGTCAGAAGGGGAAGGAGTTTTATTTTGAAAACCGGGGTTTTTAGCTAGGCTAACGCTGAGCTTAGCCGGCCCGACACAATGTGAGCTTCAATGTTCACCCGGTGTGTGGTCCAACATCTGGTGCGTTTTGGTAAGAGTGACCCTACGATGAGCAGCCAAACATGTGTCACACAGCGGCTCGGAGCAGTCCCGACACCAGACGATGCAGCTGGGGAAGCCGCAGCTGCAGCTCTGGAGACAACAGGAGACATTCCGATGAAAACGAGTGCAGTGGAGACTCATGGCTGGTACACTTCACGGAACTTCGAGGAGTATTTACCTTTTTACTCAGGTCACTGTGGGGGTCCTCGGGTTCCCTTGCAATTTCCATATTAACAAGACAGTCCTCTTGTCCTTTGGAAGAAACATGTCAAAGTCGCACCATCCCTTATCAATCACCAATTCCCCTTTTTCAATCTCTGTTTGTATATTTAAACCGGACCCTAAAGGCAACACACCGATAAACGTGTTTAAACCACAGTGACGTGTGTTTTAATACGGCCAAACAAACGATATGGTTTGAAATTAACTCCTTATTCGGGAGCTGGTAAACACACGAACGTTTGGTTTTTAGGGCTAAACTCACCGAGAACAACATGCGGATGTTGTGTTAGCTGTGTAACCGCCTTCACAGGTTTGTCCCGTCTGCTGCGCACGCAGACAAAAGAAAAGTATCTGATTGCGCATGCGTCTACTTAAACGGATCAAGTCAGCATACATCTAATAAAAATAAATAAATAATGCAGTCATTTCCGTAAGTATAAACTCCTGGAATTCAATTACCGTATGATTTTCACGTATAACTATACTTACATGATAAGAATACATTAATTTAATCTCATTTACGGTTTGTAAAAACATTCGTTCATCTCAAACTAGAGAGAGAGATGGAGAGAAATGACGTACAAAAAATTACATAAAACCTTAAAGAGCGGGAGATAATGGATGGAAAAACAACTAAGACAGTACAGCTGAACAGGCTGTAGGCCGACCGCTAGAGGGCAGTGAACCCCACATCTCACCATCGCTAAATGTAAAAGCCATACATCCAGGAGCACACAGAGCATCACATATTGTAAAAGCCATACATCCAGGAGCACACATATAAGCATCACATATTAAAAAAAAAGAGAGACAGGGAACCCGCAGCGCCGCCTTCTGGTAGATCCAGTGAATTGGGAGACACAGATTTGTTTAAGCAAAGCTTTCATTCCATTTGTACACCGTTTAACTGGGAGTCAAAAACACACCCAGATGGCGCTCTTTTTAGAGCTGATTTAACATGAGTTTGTTTAACGTGTCTGTGTGTGTGTGTGTGTGTGTGTGTGTGTGTGTGTGTGATAGGAGAGAGAGAGATTTGAATTTAAAATACCCTGTCTCATTTGTAATTGGAGTGATGATGATGTCAATCAAATTAGGGTCATTGAACGTTTATCTTTCTCTATGAAACACACACACACACACACACTGGAGAGGACTCCACAGCTGATGTGATATTAGTATTTAATTACTCATCAAACCTTGTCAGGAGCTCAGTCGATCCGGCCACTAGTTTATCCACAGCATGATTGAACCCTGACCTCAGGAGCCTGTCCCGCCTCCATGGCCTGACGTGCCACGGAGACAGACCTCCTGTCGTCTGACCTCCTGTCGTCTGACCTCAACACGAAGACAGACGAAGGATGGATTTTTTTGTGAAAACGTCTGTTTTGCATCTTGACAATTTGACTGAATCATTTAGGAGTTTTTCTTTACTATGAAAACCTGATGAAAATCATCATCACCATGATGGAGGTTTTAAACAAATGTGACACTCTGTGATGTCACAGTGATGTCATCCCCTGTGGTGGGACAGGGTAGATTTATAAGAGGAGGACCTGAGGACTGAACATAGAAGATCTGACTCAGGTGCAGTATCATTACTTTGTTATTACTATTTTATTATTATTATCATTTAAAATAAATTACGTTGAACTACATTTTTCATTGTTTGGGCTCTGAACTTTTGGTCCGTGAGAACTGGCTGCATCATTTGTCTGTACCAGGACTGTTAACCTTAGCTTTGATGTCTGTACAGGAAGCTGTGTGATGAAAACTGTCCTCCCTTGTCGTCATGACTACAGAAGGACCAGTGTTCCTGCTGCTGCTGCTGCTGTCAGGTCTGTCTCCAGGTCTGATTTCTGTGTTCCCTGTTTGAGTCCTGTCTCACTAAATGTCCCCCGCCTCGTCCTCAGGTTGGGTGGTGGACTCTCACCTTCAGGGTGACACTGGGGACAGGCGTTTCCACATGGTCGACTCCAGGACGACCTGGAGTGAAGCTCAGGGACACTGCAGAGAGAACTTCGATGACCTGGCCACCATCCAGGACGCCCAGGACAACACTGACGTCCAACAGCTAGTCCAAAGTGGGAAGTTCTGGATTGGACTCTACAGACCCCCGTGGAGGTGGTCTGAGGGCGACCAGGTCGTTCACCTGGACTCTTGGTTCGACAACTGGGGCACGGATGAGCCGGGGCCTGGGGGCTGTGTGGGCATGTGCACACACTCAAGGTGGAAAGTCAGAGACTGTGAAGAAAAACACTTCTCCATCTGTTACAGTGGTGAGTCTTCATCATCCATGCAGTTAGCAGCCACTAAATTAGCCAACACCCCAGATATACCCAGCCACAGGGGCAGTTAGCAGCCGCTAAATTAGCCAACACCCCAGATATACCCAGCCACAGGGGCAGTTAGCAGCCGCTCAGCTGCAGAGAGAGTTCAGTCAGCCATCGAAACAAACAACAAGAGTGTCCTGGGACAACGGACCTGGTCCTTGGTCAAGACCCTGCTGCTAAATGTTAGCAATGCTAAGTTAGTTTGGTTCCATAGTGTAGCAGTTAGCATACAGTACCTGCCTTGGAAGCAGAGTGCAGAGAGTCCTGGGTTCGATTCCCAGAGGAACCACGGGCTTGATTGTTAATCCTCCTCTTGTAAGTCACTTTGGAGAAAAGCGTCAGCTGAATGCAGTTCCCACTCTTCTCTTTTTTGTTTTCTCGGCTTAGCGACGCTAAAAGAGCACATCCTGGTCCAGGAGCTGAAGACCTGGTCTGAGGCCCAGCGGTACTGCAGGGACACGCACACGGACCTGAGCAGCGTCGTGAATGAGCAGGTCAACAAACTGATCGGGTCAAAGCTCTCTGCTCTTCAAGACATCGAAGGAACGAGCAACGATCCTCTGACCTGGATTGGTCTGCACAGGGACGGGTGGACGTGGTCAGAGGACAACAACAGCACCTACAGGCACTGGGCAGAAAAAGAACCCGACTTGAACGACGAAACCAAACGCTGCGTGATGGTGGACGTTGACTCGAAATCAGCTGATTGGCACAATGAACGCTGTGACGAAAGTGAACGCTTCCTGTGTCAGTCGTGTAAGTGGAAACAGCTGCTGCATCATGGGTAGGATCCAGGTTAGCCGAACCAGTGGGCAGCTGCTACGTTAGCTAACGTCAAACTTCTTCCTCTTTCTTTCTGTAGTAGTTGTATCTTCATCACTGAGGATCATGAAGATCAGAGTCAGAACAGCATCTGCGGACCTCCACCAGCCACACTTTCAACACGCCATCATTCAGAAGGTCAGAGGTCAAGGGTTCAAAGGGTTAGGGGTTTGGATTGTGTCTATGATGCTGGTGATTGACAGGATCAGAGCCACCCAGAGGCAGAGGAGGGTGTGGCTTCAAGCTTTGATGATTGGATTCAAACCAAAGTTACTGATTCTGATCAGATTTATTGGTTCAGACCAAAGTAATCGATCCTGATCAGAGTTGTTGGTAAATTGTGTTTCAGCTGCAGCAGGAGCTAGAAGAACGGGGTGTGGAGGGGCAGGTGAAGCTCAGCTGGAGGACACACCCTGATGGGAAAGTGTTCCACAGACAGGAGCAGCAGGAAAAAGAGAAAACGCCCCCTGTTGACTGTCAAAGGATGGAGCTCTGAGTCGGTTCCAGAGGCGACGATTGAAACTCTCTTCAAATCTACTTTTTTTTAAAAATGGAAAATAGTTTTAGACACGTTCATCCTCAGAGCCTCCTGATTACATGATTGAATCATGGAGGAGATGGAGAGAAATTTTCTTCTTCTTCTTCTTTCCACATACTCTTGTAGTTCGACAAAAAATGTAATAAAATAAAGTTAAACGTCAATTAAACGTTAATTAAATCTGGTTCAGTCCTGAATATTTTTGCATACAGTTAAATCCCATATAGAAGGTCACACGGAAACCGGATCTGCTGGTCCACCGCTGCCTCCTGTGGTCAGTTAGTGCCACTGAGGTAAATCTGGACAAATGATTTCAAGCAGTAAAGTCACAAAATAACCCATTTGAACTTAATGATGAAGCTGCTGTTTGTGAGATAAATTCACTGATCTGTGCTTCAACATTAAGAAGTTGTGCGCCCCCTGTAGGAGCCAATATCACTAGGGAAATTTAAATTAAAACTAGGGATGATATTAGCATAATTATGTAATATCTGTAAGACTCTTATAGTTTTTTCCTCCGATAATGAAAATCCGATAACACAACATATTATAATATATGATATATATTATATATATAATATGATATATATTATAATATATGATATATACCGATAACGGTTTTCACCACATTTGCTGGAATCGCAGGTAGCGTCCTGAGATGTTTACCTCAGTTTCGGGGACAAACGGCTGCATACACCTGTATCGGTTGATGTTGGAATCGGAAATTAAGTGTTTGGTCAATAACGGCATATCGGCAAAACGTTAACATCGGACATCCCTAATCAAAACACTGAATTATATATAAAATAATCCCACAAAAAGAACAGCTTTCTTTAATCTGATTGGTCCACTTCAAATGGTTCAAGTTGTTAATGTTTATTCTGACAAACAGAAAAATTAATGAAATTATTAATAACCGAGTATAAAAGTCACATTAGTATTAAATCAGTGTTAATCATCACCTGCTCAGGTGCAGGAGTTCAACACAGGTTTACATGTGGTTCAAACACAACACAGAGAAAAATAAAACACACTTTTATCACAGTTAATAAACTTCTGTTTACAAATGAAGCGGTTAGCGGTTAGCATACGAAGTCACAAACGTTAGTTGTACTGCAATTATTAAAGATAACCTTTCTGCCATCATGATGACGATAAAACGTTTCCCTCTTTTGAAGATGTTTTTGTTCTGTTCGTACAAAGTCGACAACGTCAACAGTTCAATTCCTTCCTTCCGTCTAATTCCTTTTGTTGTTGATCATCATCTTTCGCAATGGTCATGTGACTAACTATTTGCTGCAGAGGTAACGAGTCTTGACTAACTAGTCACGTGACCAAGGTGGAGTTGTTGACAAGGTCACATGACCAGTTAGCTGCTATAAAAAATGACACACATAAATAATGATCAGCTGCTTTTTCAAACTTCAACCCGTGAGCAGCTACAGGGTTAGCTGTTGAGCACATTTATTTATTTATCCACACTGTGTACGTGTGTGTGTGTGTGTGTGTGTACATGCACATCAGTGCAGTACGCAGTTGCACTTGGTGTTCTTCTCCGTGTGTGTGGCGTTGAACAGCTGGACCGCCTGTTTGTCGATCAGAGTCCAGAACTTTTGAAAGGAGATGTCGTCGCCACTTTTCACCTCCATCTGATCGAGAACCTTGGTCAGACCCTCCTCGTTCTCCACACTCTAGGGGGCAGACAGGGGCCGGGTTAATGTCAAAGAGGCACAGACTCACAAACTAAGGCCCGGGGCCCGGGTGCGGCCCGTTCAGCTTTTTAATCCGGCCGGCCAAACGTTACCAAATTATGTAATTAATTTATATTGTCATTATACTTCTGCCTTTCCCTGCAATACCCACATTTCCCCAATAGATGGCGTGGAAAACGATAAAAGCGTTTTAGCCTTTATGCATGACTTTTACATGTCATTTATCTCAGTTCCTGCTCCTGACCCCCCCCCTCCCCTCCAC